CTTGTTCGTTCCAAGTAACCGACGTCCACTCTCAGGCTCCCTTGGACTGGTGATCTATCAGGTTATTAGTTCTGGCACTTCACTAATGCCTCTGCAAAGGTCTTTCTCATTATTATCAAGTTTTTTTTTCCACACGCTGGAATTTTCACTGGCACGTTTTCTTTACCTGTTCATTTGAGTCGGTCCTCAACCCGTTTTCTAACTCTATAACTGACCATTGACCAAGGTCAGCATCCCTGACCTCTCAGGGACTGGCTCTATAGTGCCCCCTCTACCACGGGAGATGGCTCTAGTGTCCTCCCTGGCCAACGAGCTGCTTCTGGCCAATCACATCTGGAAGAGAAACAAGGCTGTTTAAGACGCGCCTCCTCTTGTATTATAGAAATGAATACACCTTATTATTGAAGGTCAGAGTGAATTGCTCTTGTGTGTGTGTGTGTGTGTGTGTGTGTGTGTGTGTGTGTGTGTGTGTGTGTGTGTGTGTGTGTGTGTGTGTGTGTGTGTGTGTGTGTGTGTGTGTGTTAAGAGCGAGCGTGCGCGCGCGTATGAACAAATCACCCAAGAGGCCAATTCCTACCAAAACTCTGTGAGACTGTAAATCACTCCAACAGTATTCAAACCCCTGTCTAATCTCCAGCTTAATTATGCAAATAGCATTCCGATGCGATTCAATATCACACCCAATGATATCCTCCTCCGACTAACGACCAGAAGTGCTCAAACAATCACAAATTTCTCTCGCGAATTGCGGGAAGCTAGCAAGAGGGAGGGAGGGGGGGAGGGGGAGGGAGGGGTGGGGATGGAGGGGAGGTTCCAGGAACCACCAGCAGGTGTAATTACCCGTCACCTTCAGACGCCACAATGGAGCTCCTTCTCTGTATTTGCCACTCAGTAAAAAACACAACTCTTGCTTAACAACCCCAGTTGTTAAACCCAAGCAACCCACCTATAACCCACCGAGGTTCACGTATAAAAAGAAAACGTCGATATTACGACGCTTTTAATTTTACTAACACGTCGCATATTTAACGGAGTGACCGATTCCGTCAGAAATGGGAGGTTTTAGACGCGAGACCAACATTCTGCTTCCTAAACCATACGTATCTCATGTCCACGTGTGTACTTGTTTCTTATATTCCCATTATTGCTTTAGTGTTGGCTTGTCTGTCTGTTCGAAGCAGGTCAGAGGCTTGGGGCTAGCCTCACCCGACCTTCCAGGATGACACATGAGAGGTATGGGAGTGTCATAGGACAGTCGGGCCAGGCCCCAGTGCCACCCTTGAAGCTATACTGGGACTCATAGCGACTCCCGGCGATTTTGATAATGCCTGAAATCGTGGATGTGTTTTTAGAAGTTTTCAGCACCTTGTAATATTACACTATCCGAGAGAGAGAGAGAGAGAGAGAGAGAGAGAGAGAGAGAGAGAGAGAGAGAGAGAGAGAGAGAGAGAGAGAGAGAGAGAGAGAGAGAGAGAGAGAGAGGGGGGGGGGTAAGGAGGGGTAGGGAGAACTACGAAGGAGAGGGAGAGAAACGGTGGGATGGGGTAGAGAGGAGTGAGAGAGGGGGGGGAGATTGGGAGGGATGGAGGAGAGGGAAGGATAGGGAGAAGGCAGGAGAGAGTGCAGAGAGGAAAAGATAACAAGAGTGGGAGAGGGGGGGGGAGATTGGGGTAGAGGGGGAGAAAGACCCGGACACCGCCGGGTACCCCATCAAGTAACAGTATAAATGACTAATAAAATTGTCCCACTTTATTAAAAGTTGTTGACAAATATTAGTGGCTTTATTGGTAAGCTGAGATACATCATTTATATCTAAATTAGAAAATTAGACTAAATTAGATAGAAAAGATGATTTATAGATAAGGAGATAGACAAGATGGGAGGAAAGTAAGGTAATAATCAGGAGAAAGATAAGGTGAGGTAATTATAAGGACTAAGCCAGAGAAACCATAAAGGACTCGAGAGGAAGTTCTAAGACACAAAGAGCTGCCTAACAACAGGGGACACACTGAAGATTATTGTGTAATGACCATTTGCAACATCATCCATGGTTAACTACCTCACACATGTCAGTAAACTTCACTTATAAAAATATAAGTTCAATCTGTATTCCCAAGATCACAGACGAGAGATCGGGATACAGTATTTACACTCCTTACGAGACGAGGAGGCATGGCAGGAAGTGCAGAATAGCCCCGTTGCAAAGCAAAGGTGCAATAGGTATAGTGAAAGATAATTTAATCAACATTGAAGATTGATTTGATCAACAAGACTTTTCAACACTGCCCCTCAATCCTTAATGGTCATGGCCAGGTCTCTCTTGTGGGCATGGCCAGCTGGCCTCTAAGGCTGGTAGGATACCTCATCAACTGGACTCTGATTCCCAGGATACGCTGTAAACGTCCAGTGGGGCAGGTGTGGTTACAGTGGCAGGTGTCCTTACAGTGGCAGGTGTGGTTACAGTGGCAGGTGTGGTTACAGTGGCAGGTGCCGTTACAGTGGCAGGTGCCTTTACAGTGGCAGGTGTGGTTACAGTGGCAGGTGTGGTTACAGTGGCAGGTGTGGTTACAGTGGCACCTAGGAGTGGTTATCTGCGTGCGACGTATATCCTTCAGGTGACTCGTCCTTCACAGCCAGTGCCCGGCATGTCCAAGGAGCCGTGTCCTACTGCCAAGGACACGGAGACAACCAACCCGTGTTTAGTCCATGTTTGCCAGCCACGGTAGTGTGGTGCTGGCATGACTCTATGACCACCACAGTAGTCCATGTTTGCCAGCCACGGTAGTGTGGTGCTGGCATGACTCTATGACCACCACAGTAGTCCATGTTTGCCAGCCACGGTAGTGTGGTGCTGGCATGACTCTATGACCACCACAGTAGTCCATGTTTGCCAGCCACGGTAGTGTGGTGCTGGCATGACTCTATGACCACCACAGTAGTCCATGTTTGCCAGCCACGGTAGTGTGGTGCTGGCATGACTCTATGACCACCACAGTAGTCCATGTTTGCCAGCCACGGTAGTGTGGTGCTGGCATGACTCTATGACCACCACAGTAGTCCATGTTTGCCAGCCACGGTAGTGTGGTGCTGGCATGACTCTATGACCACCACAGTAGTCCATGTTTGCCAGCCACGGTAGTGTGGTGCTGGCATGACTCTATGACCACCACAGTAGTCCATGTTTGCCAGCCACGGTAGTGTGGTGCTGGCATGACTCTATGACCACCACAGTAGTCAATGTTTGCCAGCCACGGTAGTGTGGTGCTGGCATGACTCTATGACCACCACAGAGGCAGAGGGAGGGAGAGAGGGGGTGCAGAGGTCAACAGCAGAATGCAAGGAGAAATTTAGAGTGCCAGCTTACACTGACACTCAGGGAAAGGGGGGAGGGTGCCAACTTACACTGACACTCAGGGAAAGGGGGGAGGGTGCCAGCTTACACTGACACTCAGGGAAGGGGGGAGGGTGCCAGCTTACACTGACACTCAGGGAAAGGGGGGAGGGTGCCAGCTTACACTGACACACTCAGGGAAGGGGGGGAGGGTGCCAGCTTACACTGACACACTCAGGGAAGGGGGGGAGGGTGCCAGCTTCACTGACACACTCAGGGAAGGGGGGGAGGGTGCCAGCTTACACTGACACACTCAGGGAAGGGGGGGAGGGTGCCAGCTTACACTGACACACTCAGGGAAGGGGGGAGGGTGCCAGCTTACACTGACACTCAGGGAAGGAGGGGAGGGTGCCAGCTTACACTGACACTCAGGGAAGGAGGGGAGGGTGCCAGCTTACACTGACACACTCAGGGAAGGGGGGAGGGTGCCAGCTTACACTGACACTCTCAGCAAGAGTGCCACAAGTCGAGTCATTACATAACCCAGGCACCCGCGGCCCGCCAGCTCAGTTTGATGCTAAAGTGGATAGGACATTATGGCTGCACCTCCCAGATGCTGCGGACGGTCGTGCGGGGGGGGGGGTCGTTCATGTTGTGGTGGTGGGGGTCAGTGTAGGGTGGTGGGGGGTCGTTATGGTGAAGGAAGGGGTCGTTATGGTGGTGGGGGTCGTTGCTGCAGTGGTAGTTTAGAACGCGGAGATGAGGAAAATGTTCCAGCGTATAGCCATACCTCTAACGACCAAATTACCAGTACAACTCACCGCCCCCCCCCCCCTAACAACACTGCCCATAACGACACACCTGCCAGTACGACACACACACATACACCTGCCAATACGACACACACACACACACACACACACCTACCAATACGACACACACACACACACACCTGCCACGGCAGACGTAATGACCTAACAACCGTATTAGGCACTAATCGCATCAGCGCCATTGGCTAATTCCCCGACAAAGCTCCGATACACTGTTACCAGATCAATTTATTCCAGGTAAGCATGGCGGTGTTACCAGATTAATTCCTACCCTTTGTTTGGGCAATGGTTCGAGTACACCTTTGTTTATGGTTGGTGTGGGATCACTTGTGTGTTTGGTGGAGGAATGTTTGGTGTGGGGGGGGGTGTTGTGGTGGTGGGGGGGAGTGTTGTGTTGGTGGGGGGGAGTGTTGTGGTGGTGGGGGGGGGGGAGTGTTGTGGTGGTGGGGGGGGGGGAGTGTTGTGGTGGTGGGGGGGAGTGTTGTGGTGGTGGGGGGGGGGGGGGTTGTGGTGGTAGGGGGGGGAGTGTTGTGTAGAGCTTTCTGTGTGTCTTCAGGCATTGGTGTCTGTCTGTCTGTCTGTCTGTCTGTCTGTCTGTCTGTCTGTCTGTCTGTCTGTCTGTCTGTCTGTCTGTCTCGCTGTCATTGTTCCTCTCTCACTGTCCAACTCTCACTCTCTCTGTCTATGTTTCTCAGTTTCCTCCTCTCTCTCTCTCTCTCTCTCTCTCTCTCTCTCTCTCTCTCTCTCTCTCTCTCTCTCTCTCTCTCTCTCTCTCTCTCTCTCACTCACTCTGACTCTCACACTACGCGTGAGTAAGACCAATCTGGCCCCACAGGTGAGAGTCGCCAGCTACGCACAAACACATTCTAACAAACACAACTCAACCATTCCCCCCCCCCCTCCTCCGCCCCATCTCCCCTACGCACCCCCACCCCCAGTACACCTACACCAGCGTGAGGTAACTCACTCCCCACGCCCAGCACATTCATCACAGTCATGGTAACAGTCTCTAACTCATCAAGTTGTAACTAGCTCATCACTGTTGTAACTAGCTTAGGTCAACGATGAGTGGGGGGTTGAGTTCCCCCCTTGTGTGAGTACCGGCAGGACACTCACCATGGGGGAGGGAGGTACATAGTAGGGCGGTGTGGTGCTGGGAGGATATGGTGGCA